AAAAGAAATTAGACCTTAAGTGCCTCCTGGTATTAGACAATGCCCCTGGTCATCCTACAGACTTGGCAGAGCGACTTTCTGGGGACCTTAACCCTTTCAGGGTCCAAGGCCCAAATCTGGAGTCACGCACCAGTGTCCAAGATATTTCAAAAAAAAAATTTGTTATTTTTTCTTATGAAATCGTAGAGAATCTTTTTGTGAAGGTAATGAAACAAAAAGTACGAAAATTGGTGGAAAATTGACGAAATTATGCTCTCGCGAATTTTGATGTGTCAGCGATATTTACGAATCGGCGATTTTGCCGACTTTGACTCCCATTTTAGGCCAATTACATTATTCCAATCAACCAAATTCTTAGCTATTTCACTAGTATTACTTCTATTCTATCGATTGAGCACAAGAAATCGCCAAGTCAACTGTTTCAACTACAAAATAAAGTGATCGGAAATTGTTAATTTGGCCAATTTAACACAAAGTTCAAAATATTCCAATTTCAAAATAGGGTCCAGAATGAACAATGTAGGCATTCCTGGCACTAAACTAACATTTCCTCTGTTCATTAGTTATGTTTTGAGGCTTTACAAATAAATTCCATTTTGATTTTTTATTCACATAATGAATTTTTATTCACACCAAAATATAGAAGATTTACTGTTATGCAATACTGTAATAATTGTATAAATATCATCACCATATTTGTGAATGTATATTAGACCCACCAGCTGATGTGTATTAGACGTGTGAGGTCGTTTGTTTACTCTTGAATATCGGCAAAAATTTAACATTTCCGCTACTTTGAGCTCAGTTTCAAGCCATTTCCAATGCTAAAACGAATCAAAATCATCTCTATTTCTGTAATATGTCTTCCATTCTATCAAATGAGACCAAGAAATCGCAAACACAACTATAAAAAACATACGAAAAAACACTGCAAAGTTGCTGTTTTAATCGAAAAATCATGATTTCATTTTTTTTCTCTCATTATGCACAGTGTGCTGCAGGATCTGTTTTATGTGGTGCACACATACCACATAGATGTATTCTCTCATATCTAGGCCCAAATGTACCACTCACAGTTTATCAGAGTGAGCTGAGCTCATGGCGTAGATCTACGGTTTGGACCCTGAACGTAAAGCCGTAGATCTACGGGACGGACCCTGAAAGGGTTAATGGTCAAGTTTTTGCCTCCTAATACCACTCCTCTCCTGCAGCCCATGGACCAGCAGGTCATTTCCAATTTCAAGAAACTGTACACAAAAGCTGTTTCAAAAGTGCTTTGAAGTGACCACAGACACTCGATTGACTCTAAAAGAGTTTTGGAAGGATCACTTTCATATCCTCAACTGTGTAAACCTTATAGGTAAGGCTTGGGAGGGAGTGACAAAGAGGACCTTGAACTCTGCTTGGAAGAAACTGTGGCCAGAATGTGTACACAAAAGGGATTTTGAAGGGTTTGAAGCTAACCCTGGGAATCGTATGCCAGTTGAGGAATCCATTGTGGCACTGGGGAAGTCCTTGGGGTTGGAGGTTAGTGGGGAGGATGTGGAAGAGTTGGTGGAGGAGGACAATGAAGAACTAACCACTGATGAACTGCTAGATCATCTTCAACAGCAAGAGGCCAGACCTGAGGAAACTGCTTCGGAGGAGGGGATAGAGAAATTGAAGAAGTTGCCTACTTCAATGATTAAAGACGTGTGTACAATGTGGACAAAGGTGAAAACCTTTATGGATGAAAATCACCCTCACACAGCTATTGCACGCCGTGCTGGTGACTATTACAATGACAATGTTGTGAACCACTTTAGAAAAATCATAAAGGAATGAGAGGTACAGGCCTCTATGGACAGATATGTTGTGTGACAGAAGTCCAGTGACTCTCAAGCTGGTCCTAGTGGCATTAAAAGTAGAAGGGAAGTAACCCCGGAAAAGGACTTGCTACCTCAAGTCCTATTGGAAGGGGATTCCCCTTCTAAGCAATAACAACTTCGGCACTCTCCCCTCCTCCCATCCCATCAATCATCACCAGATCTTCATTAAAGGTGTCATGTATTCTATTGTTAGCAGAGTACTACTAACTGTGCATGTCTTCTTCAGTTTGTGTGCATTAAGCTTAATATTTCATGTGGTAAATGTTTTTTTCATACTTTTGGGTGTCTTGCATAGATTAATTTGATTTCCATTATTTCTTATGGGGAAAATTAAATCGCCTTACGATAATTTTGGCATACGATGAGCTCTCAGGAACAGATTAATATCGTATGCTGGGGGTCCAATGTACAGTGGTACCTCAGTATACGTCCGCTTTGGAATAAGTCCAACTTGGTATACGTCCTGTTTGGATGCGAAAATTTTTGCTTGGTATACGACCTTCGTTTGGTATACGACTCATGTGCTAGAACTTGTATGGGTCAAAATGAGCCATGACACTGTGTGCTACCCTTGTACTTATTTGTAGGAAGTTAGGTGTAGGTAGCCCTGTCCAAAACTTAATATACATACAATATTTAATGCAGCCCAGAGAGATAAAATACACATACAATCCATTCATTATTTACCTTAAAATATGTCATAGGGATTTGGTAATGGATTTGGAGTAATAATACACACACAGGATGTCTTGGTAGCGTATATTAAGATAAGGGATAGCACTCAAGAGCCTGACCTGTCTCTGCTATATCTTGGTTCCAACTGAGGGCAGTGCCCGAGGACACCCTTTCAAAGGGTGACTCGTGATGTCACAGCTAGCAGGGCAGGGAGTCACGTAATGGTTAGTGAGTGATTCACCTAATAGTTACTGGTATGAGGCACAAGTACTACTGACACTACTGATAAATGTGTGTAGTCTTAACGTAGGACGAGAGGTGAGTATTTATTTGTAGGAAGTCAGGTGTTGGTAGCCAGTAAGTAGCCTGGGCTACATAGATATACAATATTTAATGTGGCCCAGAGCCATATTATTACCATCGACATACCATGTTCACTGACTTTAATCGTTTCTAACAACTACCTTTAGATGCCATCATAAACGAAGAGAGAAGTAATGAATAATTTATGCCAAGAATTGTAAACAAAAGCTGAGTGACTAGGCCAAACGCAGATTCACACACGCTTTCTTTGGCGCTGGACCAGAGAAAACAATGTTTTCCTTCCGCCCAGCATATAAACATAGCATGTTTATATGCTGTGTAACGTGTTTCTTATATAATTTTGAAGAAAATATCATAGATGGATTAATGAAAATGTCTATATTAACAAAATAAGACATTTAATGTAAAAGTCGAACCTGGTGAGCTTCAACCAGGTGCAAATAGGGAAAAGACACAGAAAGAAGATGGGGACGCTCCTTTCAAACAATAACATTTCCTCCTCCTCCCTTCTCAGCACTATCCTAGTAGGCACTCCACTTTTCAGCAAAGTGAGGTTAAATTTGCATTTATTTCATCTAATTCTTTTGTATTTATGTATGCATTTTAGTATTAAAAAGTGTTTAAATTACATATTTTAGTATGAAGCAGTGTTTAAATTATTTTATACAACTCCAACAGTGTATAATATGCCAATAACATCAGGATTTTTTTTTCATGGGAACGGATTAAGAATGTACACCAAGGTACCACCATATGTTGGATTTCTATTAAGACTGATGGACTGAACACATCGACTCCAGGCTGAGGGACTGATTACCTCATACTCATTTTCCACTGCTCTTCTCTGTATTGGACTGAAGAAGCCACTGGCTAGCAAAACGTTTCCAGAATAAAGATACTCAAATGTTGCACAAGTGTCTCAGTTAAAAACTTGTCAGCTTTCTAAACCCCTTATACAAATTCTGTCAGACACAGTAACATCTTGGGGTCTTGATGAAGGGAATTCTCCAAAGCTTGCCTAACCTACAGGCATGACCTACTTCCACTGATGACTCCACCTACCACTGCTTCACCTCATCAACTTTGTCTATAACTAGACCAATGTGTGCCATACATAATCATGAGTTTTCATGAGAAAAGTTAACTGCAGCACTGACCTGACACTATACCAGATGCTATAAAACATGTATGCATTACTGTACTAACAAATTCTGTCTTGTGATTTTAAATTTTACACTTTGCACTATCATTATTTGGCAAATACAAAATCATATACGTATGCCTAAATCAAATCTAAATAATGAGCATCCACTGAAATATTGGAAATGTTATATTAACTTAGTAGGATCTTCCTAGGTTAAATTTTAAGCCATCTTGTAACCATTTATATACATACTTTATCTGCCACATTGAGCATTTCTAGTTTTTGTAATTCAATTTGACCTAAATGATCTCTTGGACCCACGCCCAGAATGAATCTCATTTCATGTAGGGTCCCATGGCTCAGTCGGCAACGCTCTCGCCTCACACACAGAGTGTCCAAGGTTCAATATCCAGCATGGGTGGTACACTGGGCGTGTTTCCTTACACCTGCTGTCAGTGTTCACCTAGCAGTACGTAGGTACCTGGATGTTAATGGACTCGCAAGACTGACATACAGCATAAGGCAGTATACTCGACACTCGATATTCCAACACCTAAAATTTCCCCAAAATTTTCGGCAAATTTCAGTTAAAAATTATACACAGAACTAGAAAGCTTGATGAATGTACAAACCAGATTAATAAGTGTATAAGTAAATATAAAATTAATTTTACCTAAGTACAGGTACACACGAGCACAATTATCATACCTAATAACATATGTGAAAATTACACAAGATAACCCAGAAAAGCCAAGTGATTAAGTAAGTAAGTTTATTGAGGTATATACAAATACTTACATAGATTAACATAACAACAAAAATAGAGAACCTGGGTTAACCCCCCAAAAAAAAAAATCAGTGACTTATTTCCATTACCTCCAAACACCCATAATTCAACTAACTTAAGCATAATAACTACACAAGTATCACACACACACATACACTACACACAAACACACACATATAACACAATAAATGGCTTAAATTACCTGAGCATTGACGTCTATCTCTAAAAATGTGTAGACGCTCATGTTAACATGTGTTGCCACCTCGGCCACCACTCCCTCAGTCACCTGTTAAAATAACTCGCTTATTTATTATTATTTTATATTAATGCTCTTATTGTAGGTAAATAATTTAGAAAAAAATATACCGTAGATATTGTTGGTGTTGTATATGTTATTATTTTATTTTGTTAAGGTTTTATATACGTTGGGGTAAGACCCCAACTGTCACTGATTTTTTTTTATGATGCCCAGGTACTGGAGTCCAGTCCCTGGACCAATTATGTACCTCTGTAATCTCTTGACTACCGCCCACAGGATGGGTATGGGGTGCATAATAAACATATTAAACTAACTAACTAAACCAGGTACCTACTTACTGTTAGGTGAATAAGGGTAGCAGGTGTAAGGTGATTAGCACCCAGGTACCTGCTTACTGTTAGGTGAACAGGGGCAGCAGGTGTAAGGTAACTAACACCCAGGTACCTACTTAATGTTAGGTGAACAGGGGCAGCAAGTGTAAGGTGACTAACACCCAGGTACCTACTTACTGTTAGGTGAACAGGGGCAGCAGGTGTAAGGTGACTAACACCCAGGTACCTACTTACTGTTAGGTGTACAGGGGCAACAGGTGTAAGGTGACTAACACCCAGGTACCTACTTACTGTTAGGAGAACAGGGGCAGCAGGTGTAAGGCGATTAACACCCAGTACCTACTTACTGTTAGGTGACTAACACCCAAGTACCTGCTTCCTGCTTTGTGAACAGGAGAAGCAGGTGTACATATGTATATATCAGTATTAGTAATAAATAGTTCATACCTGGAGTTTACCTGGAGAGAGTTCCGGGGGTCAACGCCCCCGCGGCCCGGTCTGTGACCAGGCCTCCTGGTGGATCAGAGCCTGATCAACCAGGCTGTTGCTGCTGGCTGCACGCAAACCAACGTACGAGCCACAGCCCGGCTGGTCAGGAACTGAATTTAGGTGCTTGTTCAGTGCCAGCTTGAAGACTGCCAGGGGTCTGTTGGTAATCCCCCTTATGTGTGCTGGGAGGCAGTTGAACAGTCTCGGGCCCCTGACACTTATTGTATGGTCTCAACGTGCTAGTGACACCCCTGCTTTTCATTGGGGGGATGTTGCATCGTCTGCCAAGTCTTTTGCTTTCGTAGTGAGTGATTTTCGTGTGCAAGTTCATGAGTTTTCATGAAATGGTTGACATAACAAGGGAGTTTCCTTATACCAAGTACATTCCTTATACCATGTACATTCCTTGTACCATGTACATTCCTTGTACCATGTACATTCCTTGTACCATGTACATTCCTTATACCAAGTACATTCCTTGTACCATGTACATTCCTTGTACCATGAACATTCCTTGTACCAAGTACATTCCTTGTACCATGTACATTCCTTGTACCATGTACATTCCTTGTACCAAGTACATTCCTTGTACCATGTACATTCCTTGTACCAAGTACATTCCTTGTACCAAGTACATTCCTTGTAACAAGTACATTCCTTGTACCATGTACATTCCTTGTGCCATGTACATTCCTTGTACCATGTACATTCCTTGTACCAAGTACATTCCTTGTAACAAGTACATTCCTTGTACCATGTACATTCCTTGTACCATGTACATTCCTTGTGCCATGTACATTCCTTGTACCATGTACATTCCTTGTACCAAGTACATTCCTTGTACCATGTACATTCTTTGTACCAAGTACATTCCTTGGACCAAGTACATTCCTTGTACCATGTACATTCCTTGTGCCAGTACATTCCTTTACATGTACATTCTTTGTACCAAGTACATTCCTTGGACCAAGTACATTCCTTGTACCATGTACATTCCTTGTGCCATGTACATTCCTTGTACCATGTACATTCCTTGTACCAACCAACCATCCAACAACCTTCCATCATACATAAGAGGAATTACTAACAAACTTCTGGCTGTCTTACGAACTGGACAATTTCCTCAACTCAGTTCCTAACATAATTGTGGTTCGTACGTTGAAATGCGCATGGCCAGCAGTAACAGCCAGGTTGATCAGGCCCTTGATCTACCAGGCCTCGCCTGAGGCGGGGGCGTTGAGCCCCGAAAACACGTCAGGTAACCTTCAATTTTCAACGTTTAGGAGTTATGCAGCTCCTGGGAAATTGGAGGTAGCTCCAGTTCCTTAGATCAAGAGCCCTTCGCCAGCACCATTGACAGCATGGAGAAAATAGTCTTAGGCACACAGAATATTCCTGTTTAAAAACTAGTGAAATTAACTGTGATGGTTGTTGGGTTGATATGAACCGAGGTCTTCACACAGGCAACTGACCATCACTTATCTCATAATAATAATAATAATAATATCTTTATTTCTACCAGTACATGTACAAGGTATACAGACCATAGCTGACATCAATGACATACTACTATATAGAAAGACCTTTGTTACGCTGAGCATTTCCCACAAATTAGGTTAATTTTGTCCCAGGATGCGACCCACACCAGTCCACTAACATCCGAGTACCTATTTTATTGATGGGGAACATATGTGGAGTATACCTGGAGAGAGTTTCGGGGATCAACGCCCCCGCGGCCCAGTCTGTGACCAAGCCTCATGGTGGATCAGGGCCTGATCAACCAGGCTGCTACTGCTGGCCGCACGTAATCCAATGTACGAACCACAGCCCGGCTGGTCAGTTACTGACTTCAGGTGCCTTTCCAGCGCCTTTTTGAAGACAGTCAGGGGTCCATTGGTAATCCCCTTATGTATGCTGGGAGGCAGTTGAACAGTCTTGGACCCCTGACACTTATTGTGTTGTCTTTTATCGTGCTAGTGACACCCCTGCTTTTTATTGCTGGGATGTTGCAGTGTCTGCCGAGTCTTTTGCTGTCATAGGGGATGATTTTTGTGTGCAAGTTTGGTACTAGTCCCTCTAGGATTTTCCAAGTGTATATAATCATGTATCTCTCTCACCTGTGTTCTAGGGAGTACAAAAAAGCCTGAGCTTGCTACCATCTGCAGCTCATAAGACTGCCATCCCCACGAGCCCATTTGAGGCGGGGTAGATGGCAGACCAGAGGCCTAGCTTCTCCCTACGAGCCCCGTGAGGGCGGGGAATGTGGCTAGGCCTGGGGACACTTGGTCCCAAAGATGAGGAGGTACTTTACCTCCTCCCATGGGAGACTTAAGTCTCGAGACACTCCCCAGATAGGGAGCCAAGGCCGGGTCACCACTACTTGGAAAAGACCCGGGCCGGGAGAATACCGGCGAATAAAAAAAAAAAAAAATAGGGAGTACAGGTTGAGGAACTTCAAGCATTCCCAGTAATTGAAATGTTTTATCGCAGTTATGTGTGCTATGAAGGTTCTTTGTACATTTCACCTGCCTTGAAAGGTGCTGTTAGTGTGCAGCAATATTCCAGCCTAGATAGAACAATTAACCTGAAGAGTGTCACCATGGGCTTGGCATCCCTGATTTTGAAGGTTCTCATTATCTATCCTGTTATTTGCAACCGGTGTAAGGAAATACTCCCAATGTTTCTACCCTCGCTGGGAATCGAACCCAGACATTGGTTTTTGTGTGTTATTAATCCTACATGTATGGATTAATAAAAACCCACAAACCAGGTAATCCAGTCAGACCAATTATTAGCTCCAAAGGTTCAGTTTCATATAAATTATCAAAATGGCTTGCCGACATTTTGAGCCCTATTGTTGGAAAAATTTCTAACTTTAATGTTAAAAACAAATGAAATTTAGTTGATAAATTAAGCTCCTTAACTGACTTAAATGATTTTAACATGGTTAGTTTTGATGTTACTTCCTTGTTTGCAAAAGTTCCAGTTGATGATTTATTAAGTTTCTTATCTGAAGAACTTGTTAATTACGATTTACCATTGCCAGTTCCTACTATCATTAAACTTATTAAACTTTGCATTGCAGATGCTGGGTATACCACAAATTCTAACCATACAGTAGAGCAGAAAAGTAATGTGAAGGACCTAGTAGTGATAATGTCAGAAGAGCTCGCCTTCAAAGATCACAACAATATATCTACCTCATCTGCTAGGAAAATGATAGGATGGATAATGAGAACCTTCAAAACTAGGGATGCCAAGCCCATGATGATTCTCTTCAAATCGCTTGTGCTCTCTAGGCTGGAATACTGCTGTACACTAACAGCCCCATTTGAGGCTGGTGACATTGCAGACCTGGAGAGTGTACAAAGAAATTTCACGGCACACATAAGTGCGATAAGGCACCTAAACTACTGGGAATGGTTGAAGGTCCTTGATCAGTATGAAGTTCAACGATGAGAAATTTCAATTACTCAGATATGGTAAACACGAGGAAATTAAATCTTCATCAGAGTACAAAACAAATTCTGGCCACAAAATAGAGCGAAACACCAACGTCAAAGACCTGGGAGTGATCATGTCGGAGGATCTCACCTTCAAGGATCATAACATTGTATCAATCGCATCTGCTAGAAAAATGGCAGGATGGATAATGAGAACCTTCAAAACTTGGGAGGCCAAGCCCATGATGACACTCTTCAGGTCACTTGTTCTATCTAGGCTGGAATATTGCTGCACACTAACAGCACCTTTCAAGGCAGGTGAAATTGCTGACCTAGAAAATGTACAGAGAACCTTCACGGCACGCATAATGGAGATAAAACACCTCAATTACTGGGAGCGCTTGAGGTTCCTAAACCTGTATTCCCTGGAATGCAGGCGGGAGAGATACATGATTATATACACCTGGAAAATCCTAGAGGGACTAGTACCGAACTTGCACACGAAAATCACTCACTACGAAAGCAAAAGACTTGGCAGACGATGCAACATTCCCCCAATGAAAAGCAGGGGTGTCACTAGCATGTACATCCTGAAGTCTACTCAACAGTCTTTTATCTACCAATACATAATCCAACAAACTACTGTCATTTTGCCCTACATCATATCTTGTATACTTATTTATCCTCTTTTTCTTAAAATATGTATTACCTATAACTAAACCCCTTTCTATACAAAGTTCAATCAAAGGGCTCCCATTATCATTTACACCTGGCACCCCAAACTTACCTACCACACCCTCTCTAAAAGTTTCTCCTACTTTAGCATTCAGGTCCCCTACCACAATTACTCTCTCACTTGGTTCAAAGGCTCCTATACATTCACTAAACATCTCCCAAAATCTCTCTCTCTCCTCCGCATTCCTCTCTTCTCCAGGTGCATACACGCTTATTATGACCCACTTCTCGCATCCAACCTTTACTTTAATCCACATAATTCTTGAATTTACACATTCATATTCTCTTTTCTCCTTCCATAACCGATCATTCAACATTACTGCTACCCCTTCCTTTGCTCTAACTCTCTCAGATACTCCAGATTTAATCCCATTTATTTCCCCCCACTGAAACTCCCCTACCCCCTTCAGCTTTGTTTCGCTTAGGGCCAGGACATCCAACTTCTTTTCATTCATAACATCAGCAATCATTTGTTTCTTGTCATCCGCACTACATCCACGCACATTTAAGCATCCCAGTTTTATAAAGTTTTTCTTCTTCTCTTTTTTAGTAAATGTCTACAGGAGAAGGGGTTACTAGCCCATTATAGATGATGAAAAAATAAACATTTATGGTTATTAACATATTTTTACCATTAAGTGCAAAGGGAAACGAGCAACAGCTGAAATAAAAGTTGCAGTCTTTATGTATTTCGATTTTCTGTAAAAAAGTATACATAATTTTTGAGGTGTAAATGGTAGGAATTGAGTACTGTTGTCCTCAAAGATTTGTTAAGTTATACCATGAATTAAGGAAAGAT